AAAAAAGGATGAAAAGAACTGACACCATTGAATTCTAATTCAAACCAAGTAGAAAAAATCTGAGAGAAATCTGAAAACTGACTGAATATTTAGATAATATTAAGAAGTCGTTCCTACTTTTTAAATGTGATAACCATGTTAAGATTGTGTTTTGTTAATCCCTTATCACTTAAAGACATATATTCAAATATTTACAGATAATACTGTATGATATCTGGATTTGCTTTAAAACAACCAGCCAGGAGGGGAGGAAGAGGAAGCACATAGACAAAACAGAATTGACCATGACCATATGTTGACAACTGCTAAAGCTATTCAAAGTATTCAATCCTATTTGGAGGCATATTTGAAATGTTACAATTTTTAAAGTTTTAATAAAGTCAGAGATCATAAATATGAGTTTCTTAAATGAAATTATTTATGAATACTGCAGAGCCCTATTGACTAACCACATCATCTTACTTTACTTTGTTTTGTGCGTTTTGTTCTTAACTTAAGGAATCTAAGTTAATTTTATACTGGCTCTTGGAAGATTAGGTGTGCCTTTGCTATTGAGGCTATTTAGAACATGAGAGTTGGAAATGAAGACAAATGAACTAAAAGAAACTGCTATCTAACCACAAAAAGAAAAACAGCTCAATTCTATTCCTTATTTTCCCCTCCCAAGGAACAGACAACCTCAATCTTATTAATGAACCTTCAATGAACAAGGAGAAGTAGGCTAAAGGTTTAGACACTGCCACCTGTCTTCAACCACCTGTTTCAGTAAAATGCAGTCCTCAAACCAGGTCTTCCTGATTGCTATAACCCAATTCTTTGTACTTTCCCAACCCCAAGGCCCAAATTTCCATAAAAATTAATATTTTTATAAAACTTAATTTCATCAGAAATGTATATACATTGCCTAGCAGTGAGTGCATCCATATAATTCTATTCAAAAGATGTTTAATTCGATGATGATACTCTATCATTGTGAATATACAAACTTCCTGATATTATACTGCCTGATACTCTTATCTACTTCCTGCTCAGATGCACTGGTATCTTCTTTATCTGTTTTTTTTTCCAGTGGGTATGAGAATAATAAGTTTTAGAGGAATCAACTTCCCTAACAGTTAAACAGTTATTAGAACTGACTTTTTAGACCAAGGTGACTTAGACACTATAACGTATGGTATATAAGTTTAATTATTATATGCATTCGAAAGGCTTCGAGATACAAAAGTTTTTTTAAATATATTTTCCTATAAAGAGGAGATAAGTTACACAAAAGTGAAAATTTATGCTTATAAAAATACCATTTTCCTTATTGAATTTGCATGTGTATTTCATTTGAGAAAACATAGTTAAGATAAAAAGAAAACTTACCACTTTAGTAAAAAGAATAATGGTCTTTTCCAGTCTATCTCTACATACATTATCTGTACCTATACTTCTACCTGTTGAAAATATATTTCAAATATTAGTACAGTTTATAATAGTCTATAAATTACAAACTAAGAAAATGACAAAACTTTTAACAAAAATACTTATATGTTTTTGCATATTTTGCAGTAGGAATTCATTATTGTGCATTTGCAACTCTCAATAAACTACAAAAATAGTTTTTATAAAACAATACCAAGATTTGCACTTATCAGACACAGTAATCCTCAGTGCCATGTTTCACAAAATTAATCCTAAAATAATACAAATGGAGGACATTTCAATGTAAAAGGGCAAGAATTTTATCCATAAATTATGTCACATTTTCAAAAATTTAAATTAGTCATAGTTGAAATACTTTTCAAGCAACATGTAAAAATAAGGTCTCAAAGATTAAAATACTCATTATTTTTCCTGTATCTCTGAAAATTTCTTCTGATAATTTCCCCAGTATAATAATTAAATTTTGTATCAGAATAATGTCCATCAGCCCCTCAACTACTCTGCTCTCTAATCATACTCTTCATATTCTGTCTCATCATTTATCCCATTCTCCTCTCCTTCTGCTTCTCCCATAGGGATAATCAAAGAAAAAATAGCATCTTTAGAAAAATAAACTACATTATATCAAGTGTCTTATTTATCTTTGCATACACAGTACCTGGCAATAGTATCCACAGTATTTTTACTAAACTGAAAATGACTGACATGAAACAATCAGTAACACCCTAAAAGTGAGTACATTAAAATATCTCCTAAGGGTAATAAGTCCTCAAATACAAACACATATACATAAAAACACACATGTATACAAGATATACATACCTGTATGTATATACAGGATACATATACATGTGTGTGCATGCCCACGTGTATGTGTATCCTGAGCAAAGGTGCTTACAACACGGGAAACAGAAAAGGATAAAAAAAACCCCAGCATAAAAAAAAAAAAAAAAAAAGACCACCAGTATAATACAACACAAATGTAAACATCAAATTCTCTTGTGTGGGGTAGTGGATTAAAAGAGCCCTAAAGATAAGCCAGTGAAGGTTAACAGACAAGGGATTTACAAATTGAAATGGACAAGAGATTTAAGGACATTTATATCATATAGATATGTAAAATGTACTAAAAGAAGCAATCTATAAGAAACCTAATCAACAAATGCATAGGGTCTACTCGTAAAGATTATTTGTTAAACATGACTGTTGTAGACATCTGTACAGAACAGAGTAGTAGCAATAGAAATATAGAAAAAGATATAAACACAAAGTAGATTTCTTTTTTTAAAGACAGTTTCCTCAATACTAAAGAAAAGACAGGTATGTGAAAACAAAACTAAGCTTCCAACTTAACCTCAGAGAATTAATTATCAAAATACAAGATTTTAGCCTCTCTCCAGATTTGCAATTGCAGAGCAGAAGCTATTAATGAATAACGATTCTACAGTAAAAATCACTGTCATGGAAGTACTTACTGCATTCCAGAAATTGTTTTAGACGGTCAAATATTCCATGTAAAAAACCCTAGAAAAGAATATATTTTTAAAGTGTCTCAATTTATTGTTATAAACATTTACCTTATACTTTCTTCAGGGATACAAAAGCATATCTACTATATCATTTTAAAAAGTTAAAATTAAATAAAGTAGAAAACATTTCCCTACTATAAACAAGTCTTAGACAAGAAAATAACTGAAGTCGTCCCCTTTATCCACAGGGATTAAGTTCCAAACCTCCAGTGGATGCCCAAAACCCTGGCTAGTACAAAACCTTACCTAAACTATGTTTTTTCCTATACATACATACTTATGATAGTTTAATTTATAAATTAGGCGCAATAAGAGATTAACAACAATAACTAAAAAACAAAACAATTATAATAATATAGTATAATAAAAGTTATGTGAATGTGGTCTCCTTCTCTCCCCCCACCCCTTCCTTCCTCTCTCTCTCAAATTCGATCTGATAACCGAGATAGCTACTAAGTGACTAATAGTAGTATATACGATGTATACAACGTGGATATGCTAGACAAAGAGATGATTCTCATCCTGGGGGATAAAGTGGGCTGTATAAGTATGGAGCAGAACAGCATGAGATTTTATTATACTACGCAAAATGATGAGCAATTTAAAACTTATGAGTTGTTTATTCTGGAATTTTCCATTTAATATATTTGGACCACAACTGTCTGTGGGTAACTGAAACCAAGGAAAGTGAAACAACAGATGGGGTGGGGGGGCTACCATATTATATTTCATCTCTGCAATGTCTCATTTCAGTTATCTAAACTGCTTTGCAGTAAAATATTATTTATTAAGCATATTTCACTAAATACTCTGTTTTCCTGTTAATTTTTCTTCACAGCCCTGACATATTGTTTGTCTATTATCCATTTCCTCACACTAGAATGTAAGCTCCTTGAGAGCAAGCACTTTGCTTTATTACTCTATCTCAGAACCCAGGAACAGTATTTGGTAATAATAAGTACTCAATACACATATAAATATGTACCAATTATTTAAAGCAGAGGTTCTTAATCTCAAGTGTTAAATACATTACCCTCCAGATATCAGAGAAAACAAGCATTACCTTTTACCATATGGGTCTAATAAACCTTTATTTTTTGATATATATTTTAAGACACATTATGGAGATTTTACATGTTATATATAAAGGTGTAATGAAAAACTTTATTAAAATTTTTAAGAATTTAAACATCACAGGCTTTTTTGTATCAATAAATTTTGGAGTATAAACATCATAAAAGATGTCACATTTCTTTTTAGCAAATGGGATGGTCTAGGTGTTTGTCACAAAATACTATATGATGAAGGCTTTCCACACAATGATTGACTAGAATAGTTTGCTATATTTCCTCTTTGTCCCTGGAAATATAGAGTTCAGTAGTCAATTCTTGAGGTTGAGGTAATTCAACTAGGATACCATCGTGTGAAGACTTGGAGGCTGAGATTTCACTTAAACAGTTTCACCATCATTATTAAGATCTAGAGTGCTGCTCTCGGTCTCTTTGAGCATTGATCTTTTCTGATTCATCTAAAAATTCTGAAACATCTTCCTCTGTCAATTTTCTTCTCTGACATTTTGGGCAGAAAATGAAAAATTCTGAATTCTCAATTGTGTTAAACAAAAGCTAAAAGTAGAGTAAAAAAAAAAATAGTGTTTCCAGTCTTCTTTTTATACCTTCTTGAAAGCTGATGTACTACAGTAGGCAAACTGCAGGACAACACTTCTGGTACTGCTTCATATTTCTGGCAATGCCATATCATTCTTCTATTTTCATACTATTTCAGTCTTTTCAAGCACAGTTGAGAATAACTGATAAGTAATGATAAGTAACAATAAAATAATTCCTAGGATGATACAATAGCAAAATGTTTCAATATAGGAAGAACAAGATCACTGAGATCCCATATGCATCTTATTTTATACAAGGGTCTAATGGTCCCATAGAGTAACTATAAGATAGAAGGAATTTTATTGTATTTTCTTTTAAATAAAATTAGTACACCAGTCAGGGTTCTCCAAAGAAAGCAGAATATTATAAAAGATATCAATTTTGATAAGTTCATCAAGAGAATTAGGAATTTATAGAATTACAGACAGCTGACTAATCTGTAGTCCAAATAAAATAACTTGACTAATGTTACAAAACGGAAAATAACTCAAATCAAAATGATACTTTAAAGAACAGACTTAGTTGCTGAACTTGTTACAAAATCATTATCTCCCTTAATTCTCACAACATCCGACATGGTAGATACTATTATTTCATCTTCATGTTACAAAAAAGGAAACTGAGTACCAGAGGGGATAATGGCCAGCGGTCATGCTATTAAGAAAATGCCAAGTCGAGATTCAAACCCAAATCTATGTAACTCAAGAAACTAAAATCTCACTGCTATCGTACAGTACTTCTTAAACACTTTTTAAGTTCCATGTTATTTTAAGATCTTTGTTATTTGAAAAGACATCTTTAATTTGTTAAAATTCTATCCTCTAACTACTCAAGCAATATACCTTAATACACATTATAGCTAAGAAAAGGCTGATGTGTAGTTTCTGCAGCAAGAAGACAGACTCTCAAAGGAAAGCCAAAGGCTCACAAAATACTAACAGTATCCAGTTTATAAGAATGTGATTTAAATCAATTCAGTTTTGCTGGAAAAAAGACAAACATAATCAATATTTTAGTTTATATAATTTTATAAAACTCAGAGTAAATATATTACATAAATTAAGAATTACTGATCCTTTTGACATTATGTTCCTACCATATCATACATTCACCCACTTAACAAATAACTATTGAGCATTTACTATATGGCAGAGACTGTTCCAAGCTCTGGGGTGAATAGTGAATAAAACAAAAAGTCTCTGCCTTCATGGCACTTACATTCTAGAGAGGGAATTGAGGGGGAGCTATCAAATTGGTTTCTGAAAACTGTTTTTAGCAGTATGGCAATAAATATAAATATTTTAAATGTATCAGTATTTAAAATTGTGATTGGTTTTTGAAATATCTCCTCTGGCAATTTGGTAACTTTAATCAATACTATAAATGTGCGTACACTTTAACCCAGCATTTCTATTTCTAGGAATTTATCCTAAAGATATCATTGGAAAATTACACAGTGACATATATATCCAAATGTTCATTTCAACATCGTTTATCAACAATTCAAAACTGGAAACACTCTATATGTCCATCAATAGACATTCAGTAAATTGGACAAGTAAATTATTGAAAACCTATATTAATTTTATTTTTTAAATTAGTCCACTGATAGTAATATGGATTTGCCACGCAATCACTACATGACATATAAAATATTGCTGACATGAGAAAATTATCCATAATATACTAAGTTTAAGAAAAAGCAAGTAACGAAATAGCACAGAATTCCCACTTATGTAAAATTGAGGAAGAAGGAAAGTGTATCTGAAAAAATATGCATAAGATATCTTAAAGGATATTTCCAAATTTTAGCAGTATCTCTGATGGTAAGTTTTTTTTTTGTTTTTTTTTTAAGATAAAACAAGTCAAATTTATTAGAGTTGTCCACAGTCAGCAATGGTGATCTTCTTGCTGGTCTTGCCATTCATTCCTGGACCGAAAACGCTCCATGGCCTCCACAATATTCATGCCCTCTTTCACCTTGAAAAGATCACATGCTTGCCATCCAACCACTCAGTCTTGGCAGTGCAGATGAAAAACTAGGAACCATCTGCGTTGGGTCCAGCATTTGCCATGGACAAGATGCCAGGACCTGTATGCTTCAGGATGAAATTCTCATCATCAAATTTCTCCCCATAGATGGACTTCCCACCTATGTCATTATGGTATGTGAAGTCACCATCCTGGCACATAAATCCTGGAATAATTCCGTGAAAGCAGGAACCTTTATAACCAAATCCTTTCTCCCCAGTACTCAGAGCACGAAAGTTTCTGCTGTCTTTGGTACTTTGTCTGTAAACAGCTAGAAGGAGACGTGACCCAAGGGCTCTCTGTCGAGAGGGTGATGTCGAAGAACACGGTCGGGCTGACCTTGCCTGGGGACAAACGGCTCTAGAGCTGCCTCCTCTGGCAGTAAGTTTTTAAGTGACTTTTTAAATTTCCTGTTTCTTTTTCTATGTTTAACTTTAAAAAAAATAAGCATGTAACACTTTTATAAAACAAAATAGTTATCACGTTATAATGATGTATATTAGCAGTTTTTAACTTCTTTTAACAATAGAATCATTATTTCAATCAAAATCTTACCAATACACAAAAGCAAACAAACAAAGAAAAGGAATGGCTCTGGTCAGAAATACCATACTGTGAATGGCTACAATTGTGAAGTAAGGAAAGACCCAAAGACCCAATTAGATGTACTTCTCCACAATTTCTGTGTAGTCCCCTAAAGTAATCCTCAGAAAGCAATGCTTCAGCTGACCTAAACTCACTGTAAAAACTAACATAGATCTGAGTAAATATAATACAATCCCATTTTGTATCGAGATGAAATATATGCAGCCATATATTTTTTCATAAGGAAGAAAAGACACTATACCAACAATGAATACACATTAAAACTTGTTGGGCTTATCAGTGGAGTTTTCCCCTCTTGTGTATTATTTTTTTAATTGATTGCAAAAAGAAAGTATAAATGTTATAATAAGAGGATAATTTTTCATTTACTTATTTTATATTAGTTTCATATGTGCAGTATAATGGCTAGACATTTATATAATTTATGAAGTGATCCCCCGATTACTCTAGCACTCATCAGGCACTATACACAGCCATTACAATAATATTGACTATATTCTCTACGCTGTACTCTACATCCCCATAATTGTTTTTTAACTACTAATTTGTACTTTATTTTAAAAGACATATTTATTCAGCATTATGAACAGACTATTAGTTAGCAATCAACAGCATGGGTGCAAAAAAAAAAAAAAAAAAAAAACCTACATTAAAACCCTTCGTTGGAATGCTTTACACTTTCCACAGCACAGAAACCAAAATAACCTGCTATACAATTAGTCACAAATACAGTCCTCTAGTTTTTTGCCCATACATGAGGATTGTCTAAAACATGTCTTTTCTGTAGCAGGTAGGCCCTGCTACCATTGTGCCTAGCTGAGTTCACAAATCTGTTATAACCTGTAGCTTCCCCGTCACATCTCTGGCTCTCCTTTCCTGCTAAGCTTTCGTTCCTAGCAGTAATTTAAACCTTCTGTCATTGCCGGAGCTACTGCTACTGCTGCTGCTGCTGCTGCAACTGCCACAGCAACCTAGGTTTCATGGGTTAGCAAAGCATCGCCTCCACCACCACAGGGACCAGAGCTTCTGCCTCTAAAGTTTCCTCCTCTCATGAGTCCAAAATTTGAAGATTGATTATTGTAACTGACAAAATTATTGTAGATTCCACCACCTTTAAAACTGCTTCCATCATTACCAAATCCATTATCCCCATCCCCACTGCCACCACATCCTCCAACACCACAGCTGCCACCAAAGCCATCTCGACCACTGAAGATTCCTCCTCAACTAAAGTTGTCACTCCCACCAAAACCACCTCCAGGACCACCACCAAAGTTTCCAGAATCACTTCGACCTCTTTGGCTGGATGAAGCACTAGCCACCTCTTGCTTAGATAGGTCCTTCCTTACTTCACAGTTGTAGCCATTCACAGTGTGGGATTTCTGAATGATGGTCTTATCTAGAGTCATGATCATCAAAGATTTATAAAGCAAAGCCTCTCTTCTTGCCATTGCGTCCATCAGTCATGATTTCAATCACTTGGATTTTCCCAAACTGTTCTAAACAACCTCTTAGGTGTTCTTCAATATGTTCCTTAATACCACCAACAAAAATCTTTCTCACAGTTAAGTGGGCACAACCAGGTCTTTGAGAATCTTCTCTTGAGACAGCCATCTTTGGTGCCACGACTCTTCCATCTACCTTGTGTGGCCTTGCATTCATGTCTGTATCCACCTCCTCACAGTGGCATACGTGACAAACCCAAAGCCTCTGGAGCACAGTGTCTGGATCTCTCATTACCACACAGTCTGTGAGCATTCCCGATTGTTCAAAATGGCTCCTCAGACTCTCATCGGTGTTTCAAAGGTCAGAACTCCAAAGAAGAGCTTCCGTGGCTGTTTAAGCTCTTTGGGAGATTCTGGCTTAGACATGATGACTGCAGGAAGGGAGCCTTTAATGATGCTTACTTGGCAGTGTACACCAATAGAAAGCAAATTCATTTGAAATATATAAAAACAGACAAAAGAATATATCAAGGATATAAATAATTGTGATGCACCTGATAATGTTACAATAGCAATCAAATTCACAAGAGTTCACTTGAATTCAAATTCAAATTAACACTCTCAATGTACCATGTCATCTTGAGAACTATCCTAGACCTATTTCCTCTCTTTCACACAATAGCTGCTTTGAATAACCATAAGTCCATAAGTATAATTAACATATACAAAATGGTAAAAAAAAAAAAAAAAAAAACCCTGCAAAAAAACTCTAGATTGTCACTTAATAAGCTTTTAAATGAATGCCAAGTATAAAAAGCAAAAAAAAAAACAAAAACAAAAACAAAAAACCCCAAAAAACCACACTTTAAAATTTTCAGGAAAATACCACTTTCTCAAAGTCACAAAGAATCAATTACTTCTTTTACTTACCATCACCTCCATGTTCTTATGAGGTTCCACAAATCCATTGACAGTTAACTTACGCAGCACTGAAAAGTAAAATCGAGTGTTACCTGCATCTTATTTTTTCATATTTTATCCAACTAAAATCATGGTCATAATAATAAAGAATCAGAATCACAAAACCTCATCAAGCTTGGACACAGAAAGGTACTCTCTGGTCTCTGGTTGGTTATTAAAAGTGTGAAAGATGCAACTAAAGCCAAGTTCTTGTGACTCAAAAGCAGTGTTCCTCTCACTTGTCCTAACTACTCATGTTTCTAAACTACATTGCAAAATTCAGTTTAATTTCTATAACTGTTAATACTTCTCACCTGCAATAACCCCAACAGGCTAAAATTGAAAAGGTTACCTCTATTCTATAAACTTTATACTTCAACAATGACCAAAAAGCTTCATTCAATATTGGACCACATTAATGAAAATACAGTATCCCCAAAAAGGGATATAAAAATTACTTCCAAATCTGGAACAGACTGCAGTGCTTAATTATATGCATCATATTTTATAGTAAACTGGTGTACAATGGGAGACAAGCAGGATAATAGATTTGAAGTCAGATCTAGATTTAAATCCTAGCTCCAATGTCTATAACTGTATTATTTTGGGCAATTTTCTAGATCTCACGTCCCTTATCTGTAAAATGTGGCTAATAAGTACTACTTCATAGGGTTATTAAAAGATTCAGTAGTATCATATATGTCAAACACTTAGCATAATTCAGTAACAACAAGGATGATGACAGCATACAAGACTACAAAATTTAAAATTACCTTCAGAAAACAACTTTACAAACAGCATTGCTATAAATATGAGTTAGTGTTCATGAGGTGAAGTCTATAGTCAATATATTAAAATTGGGTTTAGAATGCACCTGTCTACAAGACAATTTCATACATCGATTACATACAACTCAAAAGTTATTGCATCATAACAGAAGTAAATAAGGTTCAAATTGATCCCTTATTCTGAATGTGCTTTTTCAAATCAAAGCATCTTGGTCCACACTACCTGGGAGAGTCTTTTCTTTCTCTCTTCATTACCTAGTTAACTTTCACTTTATGATTTTGATTCAAATGTCACTTTCTCAGAGAAGACTTTTCTGACCATATTATCAGTTATCATAACATCAGTAAGGCCCCTGTTATAGATGATATTTTACGTGTATATGTGTGATCATTTTATTATGTCTGCTTCCCCAGTGCCAATCACCTACACATAAATTTGTTGAATGAATAAAAATGTCTAAAAGACAGCAAATGCACATAGATGTAAACTCAGAGATTACATGTAACAAAACTCTAGTCCTAAATCTTGCTTAAGTCAAAATGAGATAGAAATTTATAGCTGGGAAAATCAAATATTTTAAAAAAAAATGCTGTGGAATTTTTCCAGGTCAAATGCTTTAGAAATAATAATATGTATCTAAGACCTTGAGCTGAGGAGGTATTAAAAGTTTAAAGCAGGCTAATATACAGTAGAGCTGCATCCTTTTTGTCAGGAATTAAGCTGTGAAATCAGTAAAGCAAGAAAACTCTATAATCAAAGAACTCATGAAAATTCCTTAATCATTAAACTCAGTACTTACACACATTTTTGTGTATATAACCTTATATTAGTTTCTCTAATTCTTTCTGAGTAAAGATTTCTCTAGGTCTTTGAATTTCTTCCTCAAGGATGGACAAAACCATCTCTACTCACTTGTACAACCACTTGGACAATGGATTTTACTTGTCAAAATCATTTACTCTTTTGTCCACAAGGTGCACCAAAATGTGCTGACAGTTGGGTTTTGTGCATCCACTAACTGGTAAATATAAGTGATACAATAGTGCCAAGAATGTCTGATGGCATCTTAAGATACTAGAGAGTATGATAAAAGGGCTTGTGAATAAAACAGAAGGGTGCTAAATGAGCTGTAGTAAGAGAAAACTAAAGGCTGCTTGACATCAAACTAAGAAACACAAACTAAAGAACTCTTAGTAAGCAGAACAGGAAACAAAGAAAATGAGCCAATAGGGTGTTTTGAAAGGAAAGAAAAGTCAGAATACATGCAAGATAAATAACTCAGCTCAGGGAAGGTAAAATGCAGACTTATGCTAAGAGAATGCCTAAAAGCAAAGCATAGAAAAACGCAGGCCAAGATAGCATCCCACCTTCTAAAAAGCACCTTCTAAAAATCCAAGTGAACCTGAGGTACAAATAAGAAAAATGGAACCTGAATTGTCAGGGAAAAAGAGCTGGGAAATAGAGCTCAACTAAGCCATGGGGACAGAAGTTTGGGGGAGTTAGCAAGACAGTGATAAGGGTAGAAGCCCTTATCATTACATACATGAGACATGTAAAGTAGAAGCAAATAAAGTAAGAATATTTGAAAGGAATGTATTCAGAGTCATGAAAGGCAAGTAATGTGGTAATGTGATATAAAAAAAACTATTGCACACTTTCGTCAATTAGAATAGAGGAAGAGCTATTCTCACCCCGCTCAACCCCCACAAAAAACAAAACAAACAAACAAACAAAAACTATAAATAAGCCCTTGTCTCTGAGGTAGAGATTAATATTTTATTTTCCCAATGCGACTGGGAACAGAAAATCCATCAGAGGAACTCTTTGGTGACTGTTTTGAGGTATATGTCATTTCAAAAATGAACATATCAAGTCTAATAGTACCTTTCAATGATAGTAGAGTTCGTTCTAGTGAACTTAGAACTGCAGCTTCATTACCAGAAGAAACTTGTTGAAGGAATGTGTCTGTATGGTGATTCCACAGAGAGCAGGCAAAATTATAAATTCCAGAGGCTAGCTGCAAAGAAATATCAACAAATTTGTTCACATTATAAATTTCAGTAATCAATTAGACCTACACAGTAATACGTTTCTGTTTTTAAATTGAGCGCACATTATCAATGAGATTTGAAATAGTCAAGAGTCATTTACTTCAACATTTCAAACTTTTTAAGCCAAACGGCACAGCAGTAAGCAGTTTACATTGGCTGTTGCTAGGAGTGCGCGCGCGCACACACACACACACACACACACACACACACACACTCACTCAACCTCCTATAATATTAGTTTCTTGAACCAAGACTTAGCCTAATGCAAGCATTACAGTCTGATGTTTTCAATTTATATTTTTTTCTTCTGCTTACAGGTTGCAACGCTGAGTTTTTAAAACACTGATTTATGGGTTATCGTTGACTATATCAAGTCAATATACAAATTTCTGTGTTCTGCCAGTGTTATCCATATGATTTTTGTGCTCTTAAAGCCAGGAACATACATATCATATCGCTTGTCAGGCTGCTTTCCTAGTAAGTTCTGATATTTAAAAAGTCAACTCTCACACTGAAATGCAGTTAGTCTCTGCCTCCCAAATTAAGGCAGAACCATCTTCCAGTGTTATCTTCAGTTTTTTTCCAGACGCTCTAAGAGCAAACCAACTGAGCCTACATGGTCATTTTATTCAAATAAAAATCAAATGAAAGTTCATATGACTAGTTATCATTAGCATACTTCAGAATTCTTACTCAAGACATTAGTATATCATTTTGACTAATTAAACATTGCATTTATAATAAGGTTAGATATCAAAACCCAGTCAGAAATGCAACCTTGTAAATATAATAATATTTCTATGGAAAAGTCAAATTCCACTTCTATTATTGTAATTCAGTAATTTTAACGGCCTGTGTTTACACGTGTAGAGAAACAGCTTTGCCATGTCCCCTGGCAACTGATAAGCCACAGGAAAAGGCCTGAACCTCAGCTAATCTGAGTACTGGCAGAACATCCTGTGGTCCTTCTGGAATGGAAGGCTAGTAAGGAACTGCTAGGGACAATCTCATGCTCACTTCCCTCTCTCTTCTGCTAGCCTGTCATGAGACAGTTTTCTCCTGCCTCCTAGGTTCTGATAAGGTATAATAAGGCTTTCTGCCCCAAGCTCCTCAGAAAGAGTTGCAGAGAAAATAAAACCACTTGGTCTAGAACGGGCTCCTCAGCAACGGGGCATCCCACAGTTTGCACTGGAGTCATTCAGCTCTATTGCTCTGGCCATTCTTTTTGGTGTGTGGAACAAAGACCACAAGGAGTTGGTACCAATTTCTAACTTCTTTTCTCTGTCCAAAATAAATAATACACTGTCTGAATCTAAAAGTGACTCCTATCTTCACCAACTGATGAGTCAGGAGTAGGACTTGGCTCTCCCTTGTCTTGGGTGAATGCTTGATAAGTACAATGACTACTTATTAAGTCGCTTTAGTATATTTTCAAATGTACATACAATAGTTCAGAGAGTAATACCAAATTATTTAATCCTAATGTTTTATTACTGCCAAAATAGTATAGTGATAATTATCCCAATCAATATGATAACAGCACAAAGGTCTAAAATTGACATCATCCCATGAAATACTGTTATAACAGAGAAGCATATACTCAATCTAATTATAAGGGGTATAATCTGAAAGGATTAAAAAAGAATCTTTATCTCAAGAAACTTGTAACTTTTACTTGTAACTTCAAAAAACTTTAACATTTTTCTTAGTAAGTTAAGTACTTTCTCAGAATATGAGGCTAAAATACGTCTGGAGTCAGACCATCCATCATCCTAATTTTTATAATACTTACTATGTAATTTTAAGTTATAGTATCCTATACTTTTCCAAACATACAAGTCATAAAAATATTTTCTGTCAGTCAGAATAAAGTGAAAGACTAGAAATAGGGTAGGCAAGGGTAGAAATTATACACAAGACCTGAAGTTAAGTTTTAAACTAAAGTATACTTTTTTATTGTAGTATATATTTCAACCAGTAAAACTGAAATCTATAGCCTTGACTATAATTTTTAGATATATTTTATACTGTCTTTACGTAGTAAATAAAATAAATCCCAAAGAGTGCCATATCCAAATTTTAAATAAGAACAAAAAACTTATACTCTGAACTAGTCTCTTGCTTACAACAAAAAGACAACCTGAATTATTTTATGGGCCTTCTTTACATCTCCTCCTTAAAATCATTTGTTTAACATTTACTTCTACATACAAATTCTATTAAAATTGTTCAGAAAGACTGTCATATATACATATGTCAGCCATAAGAAGAGATGAAATACTGCCATTTGCAAACATGGATGGACCTTGAGATGATCATTCTAAGCAAAATAAGCCAGACAGAAAAGGTTGAAAACCACATGATATCATTTGGATATGGGATATAAACCTAAACCTAAACAAACAGGACAAACAGAGACTCATGGATATAAACATAGACTAGTGGTTACCAGAGGGGAGGGGGTAAGGGAAAGAAGTAGATAGGGTAAAAGGGGTCAAACATGTGGTGACAGAAAGAAATCTAACTATGGGTGGTGAACACACAATAAAAGATATATATGACTTACTGTTAAATTGTACATCTGAAATTTACTGTATTTCATTAACCAATGTCACCATAATAAAAATAAATAAATACATACATACATACATACACAAATAATTTTTAAAAAGAAATTGTTTTGTATCAGTGTTACCTAAAGTAACCTGAAATCTTTTAAAAGGTACTTTCAGGATAAAGGTATTTATGCAGATAATGATAATTTATATGATACAAATAACAATACTAAGAATACAATAATAGACATTTACTGAACCCTATTCTGCTCTAGGTACTGCTTTCAGCCCTTTGCCTCCTGGGTTCAGTAAATCAATTTACTGAAACATCACAATCTAAACAGTCAATATTATTATTCTCCTTTTACAATAAGAAAACTGAGGCACAGAAAGGTTAATTTGTCCAAGAGCAAACAGCAAAATTAATAAGAGGAACAGGTGAAATTTAATTTTAAATCAGGAAAGGTGCTCAGAGCCTGCATTTTTAATCTTTATGTTCTAATATCTCTTAATAAAGTAACTACCAATTAACTACATAGTAATTTCATAAAAGAAATAAGTATTATTTGTATAAATAAGTTCTAAACTTTTTAATATCAAAATATGAACTAATATTAAGTTGATACTAATCCATACATTCAAAATCAATACAGTAAATCCTGTTCTCCAAAAATTATATAATTCAATAATAGAATTTTCTTTTCATAACTACGCAAAGGGAAAATTTCCCACAAATTCACTGACACCAATACTGCTGCTAGTATAGATGCAATGAACTGTTTGAAGCAATGCATTATTTGAATCAGAATTTCATCTAACAAGTTCTACAGTAAGTCCTACCTCTTTTGTGCACCACTCCACAGGAAAATATGTCCTTTTGCTCTATCATTTGTATAGAGTACTTATGCAAGATACAGTTGATATAAACTGAATGTTTTTCACTTTATTTATTTATATATATAATACCACTATCACTTTTTGTCAGACTCAATAAAGAAAATAATGGTAACCATTTCCTAGTTCCCTACCTAGTTCCTCAATTAAAAGTAAGATTATTGAGAAAAGAAGTTGACCAAATGGAAAATGGTACCAGCTCAAGAAGGAAAACATTAAGGGAGAATCTGCCACCCTAAATCACCAGTATATTTTGAAATTATGTCTGATTTATTTCAAAGGTATTTTATAACAATAGTAGTAAAAGGACAAAACTATTTTTATCTGTTATAATTTTTTCAGCCACAGCTTCTGTTACCAGGAGAATATCCCTTTACAGAATTCCACCACTGCATATGCACGACATACTTATAGTATGCATACCAAACATAAAATCCTCCCCACTCACTCCCAATACAAAGAACAGAATATGCCACAGAACATTTCCAAATACTTTACCAAGGTTCTTATTGTCATAAGATTTGGATAAAAGGAAATATTTCATCATGGTGGACTCAAAGTCATTAAAATAAAATTTGATTTTTCTCCATAAAAACATCCTCTATTCATACTTTGACTCTAAAACATGAGCAAGTTCAATAATTCAGGTTACCAAAGGCTCTACTCCATTCCACCTTAAGCAACTATCACCAATGTTTGAAATTTTCATTCCCATTTCTTAAAAAATATAACACAGTAACATTTATAGATATTAATAGCAAAGTAAGATCTTTATTAATTTTTCCCTCTTCTGGCCCTGTAAAGTAATAATATAAAATTACTACTTTAAATCAGGACTACAAATATGAAAACCACATAACTAGCTTAGCACACAGCAGGTATTGCTGAATGAAAGCATAATGCATTTGAAACAGAAATCAAGAAAGTAACGGAAAGTAATATGGAAATTTTTCTTTTAATTGATATTCTCCTTTGTTTCATATTCTAGTTCTAGAGCTAAGCACCTAGTTAAAGACATTTGGCATTTATTAAAGCTCCAATTCAGGGTTCTTTTTACCTAGCCTACAAAAGGTCTCTAAACAAGTAGGGATGGTTAGAATGAAGAAAGAATAGAAATACTTTTCAGCACAACAGTGAAAAGAGGGAGACTAATAAAGAGGAAAAAAATAGAAGAATTTGGAAAGAAATACTGCCAACTATCTTATATACATAAGCCCTGCACAAGCTTCCATCTATTCCAGAAAACATCAGCAGATGTATGCTTACAGAAGTCTCAACTGGAAAACAAAGTAAGAAAGCAAGCAAGTAGGAAAAGAAAAATATTCCTTCTACATTTCTTCACAAAAATGTGGAAGGGGAAGGGCACATTCAGTTAGATAATACAGAAATAAGCTATTTAATGAAACTTTTTAGGTACTGGTGCACATAACCTCCAAATACTTGCATTTTCTTTTTCTAAACCAGAAGAAACAGTGCCGCCCATTGACTGCTGAGAGATTTTTAAAAAAAGACTTGAC